TATTCTTGGCACATACAATGCGCTCGTATAATTTATTTCGATATTTATACTCGGATGCATTTTCTATGAAATCGCGATTTTACATTAAAGGAAGACCATTGTAAAACTTGGCACTATGTTAATACATGTTAGAGATTGGCCGATGAGATCCACAAAATGATCAGAAATTCCATTGATACTTTTCACGTAGCGATTATCTGAAAATCTGGCTGTTGAACGTTCGACTACGTAACGTGTCTATTTAAGTATATGCAAAACTTGTAAATTTGGCTTTATAAAAAGTTGATGAACAACGCATGCACATCACCTGTATGATCAATTGTATGCATAATTGTCGAAAACGTCACGTGAAACTTCTGATCGATATGACTTTTTTTTCCTAAGGGAAGGCTGGACTTCAAAATCGTCATTAAAATTAAGGACGTTGGAAACGTGACGTTTAATCGTTAAATATAATTAGGCAATGAAACATGCACTCGAATTATGAGAGAAAAAGAGACGGATCAACCGCACAATGAATGCGTCGAATGGTCATTAATAAGTTTCTTTCTTTTTGTAATGAATCTCAATCATTACCGCTAATCTCCAATAGCGTTATCTCTCTGCACATCTACGTTGCTTGTAACACCGATAAATATTTCAATAAACTCAATATCGCGCAAACAGTCATACGAAAGTGTTATTATGATAGAAAAGATGATTCGATTGATCATTGATATCGATCGCATAATTCATATTATATTCCGAATTGTAATAAATGTATCGCACTACTTCCTGGAAGAGTTATTTTACATTTTCTTTACAGCTGGGTTTATTCGGTCTAAATGACTCGGAGCAACGCGTGATTATCGTCAGTTGAAAATCGATTAATTGAAGCGCGCTCTTCGGACTATGGCACTTAAATCGTAAATTCAATTGCATTAATAAATTTAATAAGTATATTGTGCTACAAATATTTGTATCTCCGATACTAATAATAATATCGATGATAAAATAATGAGTAATTATATCATAACATATAAACGAGCTATAATTATTTAATTAAGTTATAAATTATCAATATTTGTCGCACATTGTCTTATTACTGCTCTTAAAATTTTCAGAAAAAAATTGGCGATAATCTGCAAATGACGTATCCTTTCGTCGAATAACTGTGTATTCCAATTTCGCGATACTTACAATCGTTTGAATTGATAAAACTTATGGGTATACACAATTTGTACGCTCAACAGGATCAACATAGAATATCGCTAATCACAATTAAACTCTGAACATATAAATATCACAGCCAGTTAAACAGCGTAAAATATACAGCACTAACAACGTTATTTACAGGTAATCATTAACGATAAGATGATTGCATATCCATCGAAGACAGGATCCTGAAGCTCCGAACGCAAGATATTTTTCCAAGTGGCAAATGATAATTGCTTATATGTACAACAACACGTACATCATATCTACGTTACGATCACACGTTGCTCGTAAGACTATCGTTGTCCACAGCACATTCCCAAGGATATAATTTGTAATTAAGGTACGCAGATGTACACGCACGTACGCAAATCACTCACGTTACACGCATATAAATTTAGTATAATAATGTAGATAATAATTGTCTAAGTAAGGCTGATTAAACGCTTCTCATCCTTCTATAACGAGCCTCCCTCTCGCTCTCTCTCCCTCTCTCTCTCTCTCTCTCTCTCTCTCTCTCTCTCTCTCTCTCTCTCTCTCCCTGTATATCATTTATTGCCTGCATTCATTAATCGATCCTTCGTTACTGCAAATCTGCAATTCCAGACAATACGCGCAGTATCGAGAGATGATGTGCGCAATTAAAATATTTTAGCTTTTATTTAAAAATTTTTTTAAATCTTTTAAAATTTTGTGAAATTCATTTTTTTAAAAGTAATTTTCGATAAAAAGTGGAAATAATTAAATAAGAGAATAACATATTTTCTATACAAATTTTCTAGTGATATATATATATATATATATATCCATTAAGAATAAATATTATCGAGCAATCCAATAGAGTGTTTCTCTGAAATGAATACAAATCATTATAACACGTGTGAACACGTTGAATTTTGGATGTATTTGTAAGTTTTATTTTTTGAATAGCTCTCGACAGTAAAACTCCAATAAATCTCTCGAAATTAAACGTGATCCATATTCGAGAACTTCCATCTGCAATTTTAATAATAAAACGCTCGTAAGTATAATACAGTTTCCAAGAGCTTTCGTGTTTACGGGTTTAATTCTTTGCAATTCTATATCAAGTTGGATTCGACATTGTTGATACCTTACATAATTGTTTAATTTTGAATTGATATATGATTATAATATATGCTTATTATAATTAATAATCATTTAACAATTTAATCATTGTACATTACAATTAAACTATATATTTTTAGAATCTTAAAAAATATGAAAAAACATGCAATGTTTTTTCTTAAAATAACGTTTATCATTAAAACTTCACTTTTTATAACAATGTTGCAATGTAATGATGCATAACAAAGTTGCAATGTGTTTCCAAGGAAATTTGCTAAAAATAATTTAAACCGCGAAGGTTGGATACTTCTTTCTGATGTACTTTCGATCATCGAATGCACTTTATCTCGATACTGAGCGTCTTGCGTGAATCATTTATCTCCAGACCCTTCTCAGTCCAATTGTTCTCGGAGACGGAGGCGGGGAAATTCGAGTATCTCGTCTACCTCGGAATCGCGCGTACAGGAATAAATATAATCTCAACGGTTTATCGAAGTGTCGCCCTAACGTGTTACAAATTCCCCTAATAAATTTACAGAGGTGTTCTAAATCAATGTGGCAGTAGAGTGATGTTCCCCATCGGCCGCGGAGAGCGCCGTAACTCGAGCGGACGAGATCGCGTGGGACGCACGCCTGTAATCTTCTCAAAGCTTTCGTTTTTTTTTTTTTTTCCGTAGTAAGAGCACTTAATCGCTATGTGTTTTCCAAACTGATCTATCGGTCGTGATGTTTCCTTTTTTTCTTCCCTGCTATCTTCGTTTCTTTCTATACTTTTTTTCGGGTTACGCGACTTCGCAGCACGGCGGGATTAGCTTATCGGGTACTGATACTTCCTAAGGATAATGTCTTACGTGGTAATCATTATTCGGTGAATATCATACAGATGACATGAACCCAGTCCGCGAGATTTATGTTGCTCTTCTACCTTCTCGGATTGATCGCTCCCGAGTTCAAAGATTGACACTGATATGATTTCGATATAATTAACGAGTTATCGATATTGTAAAAAATGTTTGAATCTTTCTAATTAAATTATGCATTTCTAATGTCTTTTTCATAAGATTTTTAATTTTTTTCGTCTTAATTTGCATTATTTCAAATTTCGATAACATAACTAAAAGGACGAAGAACAAGCAGGATCTGCTTACTCGTAAAATCGACAATAAGTACATTACTCGGAATTATACCAGTCTCAATCAGTCGTTTTTTATAATGCGTCCATTCACTCAGCTTAATGCGATCGTTCGAATTACCTTCTTCATTATTCTTCGAATCGACGAAAAAGTAAAAGAAAGAAGGAAAATCGATTTTTTTCTCTTCTTTCATTTCTCTTCTTCATTTTCATCTATATAACTCTAATAAATTTGATTCATTTTTCGACATGCCGGAAATTTCAGATACGTCGGAGTATGGAATTGGAAGATGAACGTTAAAAAACATACATGTCTAAGGACTCTACTCCATAATTTATAAATGTTAAAAAAAATCGCTGCCACGTGTTATAAACCTGGAAGGAAAACGAAATGGTCTCTTCTCTCTTATTTTCCTCTTTTTTCATAAGATTCGGTGAATTCGCGCGCTCGTGTATCGCGTCCCTCTATCTTGCCTTCTATGGGAGAATGAAATGTTCGAGTGTCTCGGTACATTATGAAGATAACAATGTCGCCGATTTTCGTCGGAAATGAAAGATTAAGAGTTTTTTCTAAACTCCTTTTTTGACCGAACGAACAAACGATGATCACAGGTGGAAGCGAAAGTCGGAAGCAGTGATATAGGTGATGGCTTTAGTTGGTCCCGAACATGAGTTAGTAGAGAGTTGTGCAAGAATCGTAATTACTTGTGATCAATATCGCCTATTCGCCCCTCTTTAAATTATTTTAAAATAATAATCATTTCTATAAATCATCAAATCTTAAAATATCGAAAAAAAAATATATATATAAAGCTCATTGATAAGAAAAACGAGCAATGTCAAAATTATTCTCGATCGATTACTAATAACAATAAACGAGCAGTGTCCTAATTCTGTTCTACTTTTGCCCACTCGTGTCTATGATTTAAAGCTACTTAGACTCGACATTACTGTAAGGCGTATAAATATATTTAATTGATCCAAATTGACGCATCGCCGTCGCTGGCGACCAGATAAGCCCTAATCTGCAACTGAGTAATTATAATCTTTGCACATACCCGCTCCAAGAATCGCGTGTCGAAACGTGTCGACCGTTGCATCACGGATCTCAGCTCACGGCAATACTGCGCGCATTGAACGTGATACACACACGCACACATTCTCTTCCCTTCTTTTCGCCTCGCTTGATCTGCATCTTAACTAATACGAGCTATCTATTAATTAATCTATACGGTTCTATATTGTACGGATCAATTATATCCAGTGGCAGTTTATTTACAGTGCGGCTCGAGCCGCGGCCCCCTGATATTAGTGTCATCGGTTCGTAAATGATTTGGCGTTCGCCATCGCTTCAGCAAACTAATTTTGCGGATCGATCGCGACACATTGTGGACGTAACGTCACAAAGTCTCTGTGTTTAGTCTCAAAGTGAAATTAAAAAATTAGAATAAGAAATCGTCAAAATTTTTCGAGTAAAATCATTTTTGCTCGGTTAATAGTTACGATTGAAATAATTTCCGTGAGATTACGATGGTATCAGTTAATTGAGAAAATTGCCGCTTCAACGATCCAACAATTTACGATCACCCTGTGTACGATTTCGCGCCAAGCAGAGCCGCGGACCACGGATCCGGCCGCATCTATTTCAATGTCGTCTTCTATTTACAGGAACAGCACGATCATATAATTGAGATATCTCGCGCTAGTGGTACCGTTGAGCTTCGTGCCGCCGTTTTCCTCGTCGTTCTCGCTGGCAGTGTCGCCCTTCGTCTCGACGATGGTGTCGAGTCGATCCATCGCACCCCTCTGGGGATGATAATTGCCCGAGCTCTCGCTCTCGGGAGTCTCGTCGGAGTCAACGTCGATCGTCCGATCGTTCACTTGGATCTTCACCACAGCGTCCACGGGGTACTTGCCGTTACCCTCATCGCTGGAGCCGGATCTGCCAGTGCTCGACGTGACTCCAGCCTCCCGCTCGCAACGCGGGCATACCTGACCGTTGGATGAGCCCTCGTCGCTCTGACAGCGGAAGCAGATCAGGTCGCCGTCGCTGGAGAAGTCGCAGTGCTCGCAGTGCACGACGACGTAGCCGTTACCTCGGCAGAGCTCGCAGATCGGGCTTTCGCGGTCTGTGAGCAGATCGACGGATTAGCTCGATAAGTTGTCACGCACGATCTAGGATTATCGCTTGATCGTTCTGAGAAACAATCCCCGACAGCAGTCGCATCGGAGATTGCGCGAAGCGTCAGCGAGAAATGCGGATGCAAGTAGCAGCGAAATCAGCGGAAGGAATAGGCGGTGTGCGTGCGAAAAATAGAATAGAAAGATACTACGTGTTCTTTTTTTTTATAAAAATACGAGAGAAGAGTAGAGATACTTTTCTAATCCGCTAAAGTTGTTTTGCGAGCATTTGCTATCTACGTTAAACAATAACATCATTCTCGTAACAGGATTAAAATTTAAGGATTTCACATAAGGATTTGCAGTTTACATAATAATAAAAAAGGATTAAATTAACCTTTAGTACACACTTTTGGACTTTCATTATTTATGTCCTGCTTTTTTTTTCTTCAAGAAAATAGGCGCTTCTGATAATTAGTTATAACATTTATATATTATTTTTCTTAAATATCTATACACGTTTTTATAAATACTTTCCAAAGATGTTAATGTATATGTAAAAATCACTTAATAATTTTTGCATGTTTGTTAAAGTACTGAAAAAGGAATCTCTGACACACGAATTATTTTGTTGCGTGTAATAAAGGAAAAATTATTGCCCACATTTCTACTAAAATGTAGTTTAATTCTAATTTCGGTTCAACTAACTCTTCATCTTTTTAGAAGTTCTAAAAATTAAAAAAAGATAAAGTTAAACTAATATTAAAGCTACATTGATAGAAACTAGCATATGTATATTAAGAATTAAAAAAGGAATTTTACATACTGAATTTTTTTTTGCTAAGGAAGAATAAAGGTTCTAGATTAGAATATAAGTGCGGAAACCGAAAATATCAGTGTATACCAGATGATGGGAAGACATCGGATTATCGGAGAACACCGAGGCCATTTAAATTAATAAAGCAAAGCGAACGAACTTGTTCAATCCTCGGACCAGAACTGGTCGAGGTACTCGCCTCTGTCGACGTCACCTCGATCGTCCGTATCCCTGGCGGTCCATCCACGTCGCTGTGGCTCCTGTGTCCGGTAAGATCGAGGTGACGTTATCGGCACCGCTTGCTCCAGATCGTGGTACGATCGCGGCGACGTCTGCGTCACGCGATCCTGATCCGTATGGTACGAGCGTGGAGAGGACAGCTTCACCGGGCTTCTGTAGGCACGAGAGGTTCCTGGTTCCTGGTGCCGGTCATCTATACGTTCTTCCACGTATTTGCCGGCATGTGAGTCAGGTGTTTGCGGTCGATAGGTGCAGGTGTGCGTTTTCTGATCGCACTCGCTACACAGCAGCAGATTCGATTTGCTGCCGGGTTGCGAGACGTAACCGTTGCAGGTACCATAGTAACGCTCGTCTTCATCGCTCTCGAAAAGATGCTGGCTTAAGCTACCGATCGACTTAGTGTCACTGAGGACCCTCGCGTCGTCCAACTCCGACTGATCGCCGTACCTATCATATAAAAACAAGATTGAGTAATAATAATAATTACTGTATTGCAAAGTTTGATTTTACGAGACTGACAACACAAAAAAGCATTCTCTTTCAATTTTGATGAGTTTTTAATGTGTGTAGTTTAGATCAAAATAAGGTATTTTTTCTACATTTAGGGGATGAAACATTCCTTTGGAGAAAATCAGTTTTTTTTTTCAATGGAAATATCATCAAAATTATAAAAAATAAAACAAAATTTTTAGTCGAATGGCCTTAAAAGAACTCTCTTTCTAACAATAGTCGAAAATTAAAAAATATTTTTTATAAACAAAATTTTTTTATTATGAAATTTTTTTCCTATTATAAAAAGTATTCTTGAAATCATATTCAACTTTTATTTTAAAAAATCTCACGGCATCGATAATATTCGCTCTGAAAAGAATTGGATGTTTCAGCCCCTAAAAATGCGTATGGACATATATAAAAAAAATATGTGTCTTTTATTTTGATCGAGACTACAAATATTAAACGCTTATCAAAATTGAAAGGGGATATTTCTATATCTCCTTGTGAATATATATAAAGAAGAAAGGAAAAGATAAAATAACGTAAACGGCAATATTGTTCCTGTAATAACTGTAATAATGCAATATAAAAGAAATAAAACTGTAATATAAAAACAAAAGCTTTGTGGTTAAATCAATGATAATAGGTTACGTTTTATGCGTAAATAGATTTGCAGTCTACAATAATAACGTTATAACGTGTTATAGATTCGAATTCTGTAGTAATAACGTATAAAATATTTACTGGCTTTTATGCTCCTGATATATTATAATTAAAAATATATAGTAATAAGTTAAGTACCTAGTATCAGCGGTTCCGACAAGGTAGTGGCGTATCCGTTCGATCTTGGTTTTGCCGCGCTCTCGCGGCATTGTTTCTCGTTAAATAATGCTCTCCCGATTTCTCTCATTGTTGTCTTCGACGCTCGAGGTCGAGCTTGCCCCGCAGATCTGCATCTCGATTTCGGCCAACCGATGTTCGACCTCCCACTGTTGCTGGTTCAGTTTGACGCTCATCGCTGCGTTCTCAGTCTCCAGGCATTTCAGGCGCTCGCGGAGACGCTGAATCTCCGCCAATAGAGCCTCGTGGGTGCCAAACAAAGGCGTTGTACCTTCGCTCACCAGCTGCGTCATGCTGTTGCAAGTCATGCCTGAAACAAGACGAGTATTGATGTACAGAGATGTTGTTCACATTTCTCAAAATTAAGTTAGTAATTTTACAAAAAAGAGACATTATTTTGTGAAAAACATCTGTGATGTTTTTGTGATGAAGAAATAAAATGGTGCATCTGAAATCTGGTTTAATCTTTTATAGGAAAGCTATTACAGTGGCTGAAACAGTGTTATATGTTGAGGCAGGGAACATAATAAAATAATGAATTATAAATCTTGAGTTAATTAACAAATCTTACTTAAGAAAAAGATTTTAAATTTTTCAAAAATTATAAACTTATAATAGATATTTTTAATTTCTAAAGATTAATAACAATTAAATAAATAAGATAGAAACAAATAAGCAAGCGGCAGAATTCTTAATACGAATTCGTGAGATGGTTACAACTGGCGGTTGAATTATTCTCCATCTTCCGTAATGTGGAGATCGCGTTTCAGTGAAAGACATTCAATTTTATATATCTATAGATATCTACAAGTAGAGTCGCTGCTGATATATATAGACCATTTCACAATTATTACCTACCTACAATTACGTAAGCATAATTTAAGTAATTGTAATTGTAAGAATTGACCAATCACAATCGAATATAAAAAAAGTATTCATAATATTTTATCAATTTTTTAAATAAGCTATTTTCCAAAATAATTTATTATTGAAAACCTCTACAAAGAACGCAATTTTTGTTCTAGGATATATTGTAACTTATATGTAGAGTGGAAATATAAAAAATAAAAACTTTGCCATTGAAGTTAATAGAACAATTTTTCATTTTTCACGTTTTCGCTCTAGGGAAAATGTTACATGATCAGTATTCTGCTGTTAAAATGGTTTGTTATGGATCTGTATATATTGAAAGATTTTAATAACATCGAAAAATAATCCAAACCGATTAATAATTTCAGATTTTGTGATACGATTTCTTTAAATTTATATACAATAACTACATCTTAGAAGAAATGAAATCAGACAGAAGCGAGTACAATGCAATTAGTGTTACAAGAACTTTCTAAATTCTTTGGAGTGAGATTTCACTCTCTTGGAATGAGATTTACTCTGAAGAATTTAGAAAGAATAAAGAATTAATTTTTTTTAACTTAATTTGACACCTTCTCTCCCTCCTTGTTAACGCGTCTTTGTACAATCTATTTACAATGGTCCTGATTACATACACAAATATGCACGTGAGTACGAAGTTTTGTCTTTCAGTCCGCTGATATAGTACAAGTATAGTGCGCGCAATTATCAATTGTTGAAAGTTAGATTAGATGAGGAGCGTGGAAAGAGCAACGAACGAGTTCTGCACTTAATGGCGCCGGCGTCAGTGTGTATACGAATGCAAAATGAATCCTCGAGCGCATTCACGGGTCTTTGTGATTCACTGATGTTGATTAATGCGCATGATTAGTATTTCTCTCTTGGTACCAACGGTTGCACTAGTGCAATAATAGAATTCGCATACAAGATGAAGTCGCTTCTCTCGATCGCATCGAGAGCTGATACAACGTACAAAGATTAGCATTAGCAAACTGCTAACTAATTCACGAATTACCGCGGCGTATCGTCTGGCCATTCAGGAAACCCCGAGTATTGTCGAGAGACTCATCTTGATCGTGTCACTCTTCGCGTCAACATTCGAATTCGGCAAATGGAATTGCAGCGGCTATTTCGGGAGATCGGTTTCCCATTTTATACCATACCCACCGGAATAACGATTACGCGTGACGATGTTTCGCCAGTTAAATCAGTATACTGTCGATTCGCATCCGATTTGTTACCGCCCGCAGCGAAATCTGTCGCTTTATTTTCGGGAGAGGGGTATTAACGTATCATACTGCGTTTTGTTTATATACATGCTTTAAACGGAAACGCTCGATTACCAGTGGAATTTCCAGTTTGCGGAAAGGAAGGGGAAGGGGAGGAGAAGGGGGGGGGAGAGGATTTTATTCCCCAAACGACATATAAACGTCGGCAGAAACACGTTAAAATCGTTACTACCTATCGTATCTATCGGGGTTAATGGTCGGGCGGTATTTTACGAGTGGCGCCGAGCGTCGCTCGTCATTCATTACCCTCACGATATTTCTGAATTTACCTTTTTGCCGTTTTACAGCCGCCGATAAACGGCGACCGTACACGCGACACACTTCGTGTTATGTATTATTCACGTCTGATTAGATATGATTTGCAATGAGAGATCACATCCCGCGGAATTCTAATCCGCGGCGCGGAGATTGCGACTGAATCGACTATTCGTTTATATGAAGGCGCGATATAAAGTCTCTTCCGGAGACGCTCACTATACGATTCATCAATCTTTCCCTTCATAATGATAAACAATTAAAGCTTATTCAAATATGACGATTAAATTTTCCGAGATAAATGAATCGTAACGATATAAACAATAAAATGCATTTCTAGAAATATCATGAATGATGACAATTTCCATAATGCTGCGGAGAATCTGGGACCTTGTGTGTGTTGCGAGCACATGTGTGCTTTCAGAGTCTTTTGTTCTGAAAATACCTCCGGGATGGAACTTATTACAAAACGTTCAATCGAACGTAACGACATCGATGGTTTATAGTACAAACATTACACGGCCTTTCTAAAAAAGCTTTTATGGAACGTGAAATATTGATGACTAGAAAGTGAGAGGCTACGAAGGTCTTCCTATTCTCTCCATGTTCGCGCTTCACTTAATCGCGAAGTCTTATAGTCTATAAGAAACTACGGTTTTGCGTCAGCAGTTTGCCGACGAGCACCGTCGGCACCGTTATCGGCAATGATTTATATACCCGGTATAATATTGCAAAAGAATCGCCAGCGATCGATGATATTTTTAAAATAAATCCGATATGAAAGTTGTCCTACACAGGTAAAATGAATTTACAAGTTATCAAGTATGATTGGGATAGGATAAAATTTTCATTGCGTTCGCAGCATTTTATCGATGATCGGAAAATACAATTTACGTGATTACTCGACGTTGCGAGTGCTTACAGAAATATCTGCTACTTTTCATAAATAATTATATTGAATCCATTCTGACTCGGAGAACAAATTTACTTTTTCTACACTTTTCTACGATGTTTCTCTTTTTTATTTTATTAAAAAAATTTTTTCCCTAGAGGCAATATATAGGATATTAATCAGTTTAATAATTAATATCAATTTTTTATTTGATAATCCGAATGTTCATTAATCCGTTTTAACCAACGATTTTTTGAAAAGTAGCACAGTAGTCAATTAAATTGAAATGCAGCCAGTAGTTATAGCCACCACTGGCAACATCGTAAGAAGATTATCGAGTTGCGATTGTGATACAGATATACCAGATATGTAGAATGTTGTAACACATAACAATGCAATAGATAAAAGATCCATTTTTACTGTATCGTTTCCTAGTAGAAATTTTATGCACCCCATATTTTTTGCAATCACTGGACAGTTTATTAATTTTTATCTATTAATTTTTATCTAGTAACTGGGAAATAAAACTATTTAGAATTCCAAAATGTAATGCTTTGCCTGCAGTTACTCAAAATTCAAATTTATTTGCTAAACATAAATTTAAGAACATACAGAATAATAAATGTATAATAATAATAATAATAATAATTTATTATTAATCATCTATTAATAAATAATAACAGGGCAGGACACAAATTGCGTATACTTTTATTAGGAATTGTTTTCATCATTGAATAAAATTCTATCAAGTTCTTGTCCATTTTCTATGCGGTATTGTTACTACCGCAACTAATGAGAATACAGTAATACTAGACGAAGTAACTGGACGAGTGTCTAGGAAAATTGTACATATTTCAAGGTCAATATCCTTTCGAAGACGTGCCAGAAAATGTAAAATTTTGTGCAAAGGAGAGAATAAAAGAATCCTGCTTTGGGTTGGTCGAAATTCAGAGAAAAGGAGATCTCCTAATGTCACATCGCATCGGGGTGATTGGTAAATGAGGGCTTACCGGAATGAGTGGACTGCCTGCCGGTAGAGGCTTGGGTCGCGGCTGACGGTGGCGCCCTGGCCGTCTGGTCCTCGCTGCTGGGACCACTGCTGGCCCCGCTTATCGGGCTTTCCGCGCCTCTGGGCACGTTGTCCGCTAGAACCCCCGTGCCCGGCATGGCGCGAGGCGTCACCGGACTCGGACTCGGCGAGAATAATGAGGCAGCCGTCGAGTACGCGTGGGACTTGAGGTCGATCGGCGATATCCACATGTCCTCCAGCGACACGCGGCCCCGCGACTCCACTAGACCGGGCGTGCTCTGGCACCTGCCCATGGCGACTGGAAATTTACATCTTGCTTTAGTGAAAAGCGGTGTTTCCATTGCGCGGGACATCAGCTTTCAATATAATAATATTAATTATTTATTTGCATTAAAACAATTTATATCGTTGAGTATTTTTGACATTAAGTTGTACGCTTTGTACAGATTCAAATTTAATAATTAATGTTTCTTTGTTAAATATAATCTCTATAAATAATAACAGTAAATTTAAATTAAGCGTGATGGATTAAATATTTTTCTCTTTACATAGAAATGAAAAATTGAATATCTGTTAAAAAAATTATTTGTTATTATAGGACGAGCTGTAATAGGTAAGGAATGCAATTTCAGTAAAACAGTTTAAGAAATACGTGTTTAACATGTTTTATATCTGATTCTGTGTACCAAAAAATTAATATGGCAGAATAAATGAATTGCTTTCCCAAATTCACGTTAAGTTAAATAACATAAAGTATATTTTTGTGTTTCATTTATAGATTCTTGAATTTCAATCTGTTTGACAATCTGTTTTCGCACAGATAGGATTTTATTTTAAAAATCGTGACGATCCGATGGTCCAAAAAAAAAAGAGTTGCGGTATTACCATACTATGTCGCTATGTCGCTTTTTCATCTTTCTGGAAGTAAAACTGCCGTCGCGCATGAAAAGCTCAACCGTAGTCGTCAGAATTTATGAAATACGGGAAAACAACGAGAAGAGCTAGCCATTTATTTAGGATATCATTCATTCGTGATGCGTGTTATCCATGCATCGTGTTTACGCACGTCGTGACTGATACGATCCGTACGTGCTCGAATTTCCGCTTTGAGGTGTGTTGACATTTAACCACGACGTTGACAGTATTCAGTATATCAATAGTACGCCATTTCACTTTGATGCAGATTTTCCGATCATCGAGAACGCATGATCTTTCGATTCATTACAGATTTCCGCTTCGATGATATTACACCTTACATGAAGACATAACATGAGAGATAAATGAGAGAACTTTGCTCCATTGGTAAAAGTTCGCATCAATCAATTCATGTTAGAATTTAGGATAGAATTTTATAATTTTTTTTTCAAAAAGGATGATTTGATAGAACTATCTAAAAATTCAGCTAGATAAAGAAAAATAACTTTGTTACATCGTCAAAATAATTATGTAGAGTACACAAGTAGGTTGAAATAGAATGTCAAAACTTTGTATAATGTTGCTCATCACTTAGTATTATTATTGTATTATTGAACATTATTGTATAGTAATTACGAAACACTCTATAGAAAGAATAATTAAACGGATAAAAAATCCAAGATAAAAATAGAACGAATAAAAATCTTATATAATTATTTTGATAATTCAACAAAATTATTTTCAGATTTGTAAATTTTTTGATAGTTTAGCAAAACCATTCTTTTCATATGATATTGTACTGTGAATCTTATGTGCTATAAATTTTATAATTTTATGCTTTCTACGGAAAACATTTTAAAAATCTAAGATAATTATATACATATATCTATGTATATAAAATATATATTAAAATATACGCCTGTAATAAGATATATAGCATACAAAATAATATATATTAAATATTTATCCTAAAAATCTTACTGTTGAATTATGAATCATTTATAAATTATGGAGAGAGCTTAACGATAACTATTAAATTTATGCAAAAGTGACAAGAGATATCTAGGTCAAAAGATGCGGGTTGTGAAATAAAAAAAAATTATGTAAAGCAATTAGCAATAGAAATACGTTCGTGTATCGTACTCGTAAATATTTCTAGTCAAAGAGATTTTTTTTTAATAATTCGATTAATGGTTATGTAACGTGTCACGGATCAGTTAAATTGAAGATCCCTCCGTAATTAAATAAAGTGACCTTTAAATATCAAGGGAGGTAAATCGCGGATCAAGACGCTAATAGCGAACACGACGGCAAATCCAAAAAAAATTGTTATCTTCGTGACGCACGAAGTATGGGAATTCTTTGATGCTATTTCAATTAGAAGTCTAAGTATAAGTTACATCGTTTAACTTTTTTATGCTTTTTAGCAAAAGTCCTTCATCAATTTTGCAATCCGCGAAAAGTCGCATACCTTTAGATCTGTAAACGTTACGACAGCAACATGTCTTTGTTCACTTTTATGTTAATTAGAGGACATTGCACCGATAACAATAGCCGACAGCAGATCGATAGGCCGGATCTCGTTCTCGGCATCGCCTACGCACGCAGCTTTTCCTCCTCTCTCGTCACTCGCCGCTGCGCCGTAACTCACGTTACGCATTACACTTATTACAGCGACCTAATTTTTCATACGTTATCCTTCATAGCAACGTAAAAGTACATTGGCTTGTGCAACGAGATGAGTGCCGAATGAAAATCTGCCGTTTTGATAGTGATGAATGGTTCGAGAAGTTTATAAATGAAATAAATTTCAACGTAAGCGTATTACTGGAAAATATACGATGATAGACCGGCGATAGCTCGCGTCTTTAAAAAAAACATAGCGATATCTCTCAAAATGTGTACTCGAGCAGAATATTTCATTCTATTCAACGTTTTTACTTAAAATTCAGTGTATTAACATTATAGCTTTCGGACCTTTCATCATATTTTCTTAGAAGAGAAAAGAAGCAAAAGAATATAAACAAAGAACATGAAAATAAAATCTTTTTTATGTTCTCTCTTATAGAGAAATAATATCTGTTTAAAATTAAATTAAATCTTAGATTTTCTTCGGTTTTTATAAACTTTACAGCGTTTGCACTTTGTAGTACATCAAGATTTGTTAAATGATTTTTCCGCCGTTTTATTTTTGTCTTTTATATTAAAAGGATCTATTATTTAAAAAGGAATACAGTTAGAAAATTTGTGTTAAATTTGACACATTTTACATGTTTTAAATGTTTATCCAAATTTTTGTGTTAATTTAACATAAGATAAATACATTAAAAGTATTACAAATATTATGCAAAAAAAAACACAATATTGTGAAATAATTTATACGCAAATTGGAAGCATATTTCTTCAATACACTTATATGTAAATATATTATGTTTTAAATTTATTATATTAAATTGATATATGTATATTGATATATGTATATTTCATTTATTTATCTTAGAATTTACGTTTTAAAATACATTATTCTTATATTATTTGTTCATTTACTTACAAATTATGTTGTTTTAAGATTAAGAAATATTGAATATCAAATTAGCACAAAATATTTAAATAACACAATCACATTATATTAAACTAACACTTAACAATACATTACAAATTCAACACAAACATTTTATCAGATACAAATACAAAATAGTGTATTTGTGTAGCCACTAACTTTTTATTACGAATAAAATCCCATTTCTTCCCATTTTCTAATTTATCTTCGCCTGAAATTTACGATTGAAGGGACAGTGATTTTGCAAAATCCTTATGTCTGTATATTTTTGCTAGAAAACGGAAAGTATAGACCGAAGGGTACTCAGCCCGTGACACGCCGACCTATAGGCCGAAGTTAATATTGCCATATCATGATATTCCAACTGTCATTTCCGCGTGTTTTGGATCAATGAGACATCCGAAAGGAAAGAATTGCCGTGACTTTTACAGCCATTTATCTCCATCAGCGTGGCATCGACTTTCGCCATTAAGTATCCGCCTCGTTTATTCTTCGCGCTTTTACGTGTGCTAAGAATTAGGTCACGAAAACATTTCGCATGCGGATGAATGAATCCTGAGATAGAGATATTCTCGAGGTAGAGATGTGTCTCGAGATAGCGATATTCGCCGTCGTGTATTTAGCGTTAAACGCGACCATCTAATTTCCATCTCACACTTACCCTGCGTGCGTTTCTCGCATTAGGCAAATGAGACATATAAGGGAAACATGTAAAACAGTGGCGGCGAATTTGCGGCATGCGGCACTGAATCGAGGTACCACGATTTTCCCATACAAAACTTATTTATGTTTGTTTTGTATAAAATTTAAACATTTCTTAAAATAACAACATGAAAGAAATATATTTATATTATTATATTTATATTGAACAAAAATGGACTGATAAGATTAAACATATATGAATAAAAAATGCTATATCCGTTTAAGATTTTTTGTGTCTATTTCTTGTAAATTTTTACAACTTTCGATTTAAGCCAACTTTGTGCCTATTTATTAGTCTTAAAATACAGTCTTAAACCAAAGCTAAAGTAATATCATAAATTAAATTGCAAGCAATTTAATATTATTGCTGCAAATAAGTATCTTAAAAAGCTGTTAATGATTTGATGCTAATAAGAATCTTAGAAACTGTAAATAAAATAAGCTGACGTAAATAAAATGAACATAACGTGAAACTGGAAATTGAATAAATTTACAAGAAACTAAATATGACATTTTTCATTCGTGTATAAAATATATTTATTTTATATTACATTTATGCATTTTATAATATTAAAGAAAAACTTATAAATAGAAAATAAATTGCAAAGAATGTGTTTTATTAATATCCATTTAAATTCTCGCATTAAAGATTCTCATTTCACAACTTCCTCTTAAGTTTAACAAGACTTACAGCTGACTCATAGAGAGCAACATAGCCGCATTTCGTTTAAACGCGCATTGAAAGTTCTGCGCCACTCAGGAATATATCTTTCAAAAGCTTGACCAAAGTTCCATGATCGAAAATCTTTCAAGACGTTAACGTGCGAGGGTATCGAGAATCACATAGAGCGATGGCGATGCTGAAAGGGCTCAGCGAGGTGAAGACGTGATTTCGCTGTACCATTCAAAAGATTTTCGTCAGCGCGTGTAGTAATAGGTGTAGCAGCGAGCTGAGGAGTTTAATTAATTAATCCGGAACTGTGCGACGAGCGCAAAGCGGCCACCCTTTGCTCACTTTGTGGTACAAGGTGGCGGAGTTCGCCGTCCGCGCTGTTGTTATAACACGCGAAACTTTCGAGCACGGGCATCGTTGTGGAAACTATGGCAAACATAATACAGTCGTTTATCCTTCGCATAGCTCCTTCGGAGATCCGTAAGAGAAAAATAAAATTGCTGAATGAAGTTGTTGAATTTCCACCTGTATACTTGGGACAAAGGTTCAGATTATTTCGCTTTGTGGAAGATTCAAACGGGAAGTGGTAGTTTAGTTTTGCAGCGAAGATCTTATCAAATAATATACCGAAGCAAATTTATGTAACTCAAACAATTTCGTAAATTTTATTTTTCAATTGCGAATTAAATCTATGCTTAAATTTTGCTTTAATAATTTTGAATGACGTTGACGAGAGACGGATTTTAATAAAAATTGTACAAGAGCATCTTTTTCAACATCGTGTGATGGTATTTGTCAGTGTCAAGTTGACTTTTTGAAAACTTTTCTGTAGAGGTTAAACCTTCAAAAACCAACTTTTCATGCGCGACAACCCACTTTCATTAGATGCTCGTTATGGTTTGCAGAAGAAACGAGAAGAGATTACGCGGAGAGTACTGCAAGCGTTTTTTTCAACAAAAATTTAGGTCGAGAAGAATATTTTGAATGACGGTTTTTCGGAAATAAGAACGATACGAGATAGACTTTTATATCATAAGCCCTCGAGGCAGTCAACTAGTATTTGCAATATTTTTTGGCGACGCGAAGAAAAGAAATTTAGTACCTTCGATAAAACTGTTTAGTTGAGGTATTTTTTAACAGCAACCAAACATTTTGTTTATAAAAAATTAATAAAAAATTTAATTGTTTTTGAAAGTAATTTCTTTATCATGTAGATAATAAAAAATATTTGTTTATATAAGTAAACAATTTAGTTTGCGTAAAATATTACAGTTTTGTCCGATACATTTCAACTAAAAATTTTTATTCGATATATTTCAACCAAATTTCTGTTGTTTCAGTGAAATTTTGGTTCACGGAATAAAACATTTTCCTATTAGTATATTTTACAGCTGTCGCGCGATCCGAAAGACAGGATGAGACAGAATGGAGAAATTCATCGATGAATTATCGCTTTATTAAATTTCAACAATATTTCTTGTTATATTGAAATTGGAATTTATACATGAGAAAATTAATGAAAGATGAGAAAATTAATATCGATCAAGCAAGTTAATAAAAAGTTAATTCAAGTTTTTGCGAAGAAAACTTTAGCAACAGTTAATCAAATAAAAACTTATCAAAGCTTGTTCAATTATATTTCTATCTTTATTGAAGAATGGATATATTTTTTTAAATCAGTTATCTCGCGAGTTGAAAAGTTGGAGTAAAACTTGATTCATTGATTTTAATAAAAAGCGTTCGGGATGTAGTTTAGTTTCGTTTCAATCGCAAGAAAATAACAAGTTCCGGAGTAACTATTGTGATCGAGTGTCAAAGATGACTGCTAAGGCTCTTCTCTGAGATGTCACACGGAGATATAATATATCTATTTCAAAGCATCTTTAACTATTATACTCAAAACTCCAATCTAACGTTCCACAATGGTTAATTTGTTAATGCGCCGTAGCAGCGACGAGCACATCTTGATGGAATCCTCTATTCTTGGTTCGAAGTTCTTCGGATGGCATCCGCATCCCGAAGAACTTACCTTGCCGAGGGCGCATAAACTTCCGTGAGTCTAGCTATTTTAACGATGGTAACGAGGAAAGTTTCAGGCATTCGAAGCGTTTCGGTTGTGCACCAAGTTGCTCGCAAGACGCGACGCAAGACGTTCGCAATCGTATTCGAACCTGTTTCGCGCAACTCTGAGAATGAGTGAATTGAAAAGCAGTTTTAAATGTATTTCCACCATGTTGATACCAGCTTCGCGGCGGATGTAGCGCAGATCGTACAAACGATCTTCGAATCATTTGCGAAACACGCCTAAGACAGACGTAAAAAGAAAAATAAGCCGAATTACAGAAAGAAATGCAAGAGTTTCTTTCGAATGTCGATACTTCACGAGTTATCACAGCCTTCCCGTTCGTTAAAGTTTCATCAAATAAAACGAGAGAACATCGTCGTAATCAAGTCTATTCAAGATAACTGAGAAGTTTTATAAATCCGATTTTTGTTATCAGCTGTTAGTTGAAAAAATCTAATTTATCAAGTCCAAGAGAGAAATTCGATCGAAGTATATCTTTAAAAGCTTTTTAACTTTCTCGTGAAAAAATTCGAAAGTTGTTCCGATCATCCGCGTTTCGAGAGGGGTGTTTCATCGATTTGTCTTACCTATCTGGTGCCGTTAAAGAAACACGATAGCTATTTGTATGTACTTGATGCGCGAATATAATAGAGACGAAAAAGGTAGGCTCGACTCACCTTTCTCCAGAGGAGCTCTCTTGTACTTCTCCAGCCTTTTGACTGCAATGGCTTCAAGGCGCACCCTGGCAGCCGGATACTCCTTGAGTACGTCCCACATGTCCTTCTTGCTGAGGACGAAGAGGTCCGAGTAGCCGACCGAGCGCACGCTGGCTGTTCGCCGGTTACCTGCGTCGATGTAGCCATTTATTGGTTATCGGGATGCATCAAGCTTTCTTATGTAACGCACCGTGATCGATTTGTCGATCGTTCCGCCGTTTTACCTATAGTAGACCCGCTCTCATTTCCTCAGCCCGGATGCACGTGGTTCCGATTGCACGCTCGATACGTCCGCGCGCGCGCGTGCGAACTATCTCTTTAAGATCCTTTTACATCGTTTTATACTCGTACAAAAGCACAGTAATTTTGATTAATCGGGTTCGTTACGGTTCAGTCTTCTATGTTAATTGATTGCCAGGTCGCTCAACTCGTTTTCCCGACTTTTTCAGAAAGACATTTAATCTTCCGATGTTTGTTGGCTGATAAATTGATAGATAATAGCAGATACGAATTAATTGTCTCACGGTTTTACCATATTTATCCGCTTCCGAGCGTGTTTTTTTTCGCATCTTTTTCGCGGAATAGAATGTAGTTAACTTCAGGTAGAAAAAGAAAAACCCGCAAGCTAGACTAATGAAGTAGTTTGCCCAGAATGTGATAATGATGCAGCCGAGCTATTGTTTACAACTTTAATTGGTGACAACGATATTTTATATACCGGCATAAAAGACCGCGTAATTAACAAGGTAACGAAGAGCATAATGAGCAATTGCTTCAGACTACAGACGTACGTGCAAGTCTGAAAAGTAGCAATAACAGACGCTACCGAGCACGAACTTTCTAAATTTTGGGGAAAGATTTAACCATTAGATAAATGTTTATATTCAGAAGTTCCGCTTCATTAGTATGCTACGAATATACCTGAACTGTACAAATTGTAATAATTAAGCTTAAGGCGACGGGAAATTCTTCTAGCACTTGATTGAAAATTATGTTTACACGTCCACGTTGAGTCGGTAATTATGGCATGCGGCATACGTCTCTCTGTCACGATGAGAATTGTAAATAACCAGTCGCAATTCGCGTCATATATTATTCAGAAAGTTTTCAAACGCAGCCGTTCCCTCTGCTCCATTTTTCGCTCAAATATCGTTTCAAATATAATACGCGCGGAATCGTTAACCGTACATCGAAGAAATTTAGCGGATGGAAATTCCGCTTCCATATTCCTCAAGTATTTGAACTACTTATTTCAAACGGTCTTATCCGATAAATAGACTCCGACATGTTATGAAGGATACAAATTACCTAAGAGCATTTTATCTTTTCAAAAGTTGCGAGATATTTCGGTAAAATAAAATTTTATTGTTCGAACGTTGTATATTTATTAGTTACAATTCATTAAGTAACCAGTTTAACGAGATGCTAATTCACAGTTTATTTATTAAGTAGTGAGTTTAACGAGATGCTAATTTTGCGATTGTTATTCAATTACGGTACGATGAATAAGTAAGTTTATTGTACATTTTCGACGGAAAATTCTGCGATTAATTTCTCGAAAATAACGTGTATAAACAGACGATGTGCAAATTTTACCTTATTTCCTATTATTATACATCTTAATTTTAATAAAAGTGTATGAATATACTTATGTTTTGCTGTAGTTTCTTTGGCAACGATTTTCTTTTACCGCTGTTTGTGTCAAATATTACTTGTCAGATACTACTTGCATAGATAACGTTAATATATTTGCGATGAACAATATATCAATACTTGATAGTGGAAATATTTTTGAAGAAAGATAGTCTATTTTGTTTTTTCTCTCGATAATTTTTTTCTCTATACTGGAATAGTGAAAATAAGATAATAAAATCGGCTAACTTTCTTCATGAATAAATCAAAGCAACCAAGTTATATAACTTGATATTTCAAAAGCTAAGATAAAGGACACTAGAAACTACTGTAATCAATTTGTACATGTGTATATGTGTGTGTGTGTGTGTGTAGGTGTGTGTGTGTGTGTGTTTGTGTGCGTGCGCGTGCGTGTGTATGTGTATGTGTGTAAATATAGATATAATTTAATATTAATAATTGGTAATAATAATTTGGCGGATCTGAATGCAGGCCAATACAATCGTACGAAATCAGCACGCATTACAGAAGTAAAAATTACAATTATCAATAAGAGCCTACGTTAGGGAGTGATGACGACAAATTGTGAGAAAGATATGTGAATGGTGCAATGAATAATAACATGATAATATATCGCGTGAGAATGGAGATGTTCATAGGAAGCATTTGTAAATGACGCTCGAGCACAATGATAATTCTCGCAGACAATCAAATCGCCTGCATTAAAGCCATAAATCGTGATCGATTTATACAAGCAAATAAATCAGTCATTTACAAATGCTATCCCTCAATTGTAAATGTTATAATAGATAACAATTAATAGATATGCAAATGTTATAAGAATAAGAAATGTACAATCCCAGCGCAGCGTGGCGTTGCAGCATCGATTGTGAGAGTCAAAGATATGATGCTGAAAGGGGCGCGAATAAGGAACTGGATTCGAATCGATCCAGTTTTAAGCTATTTCTTCTAATAGAGCTACGAAAGCGAAATAGAAATTGTGAGCACGATTGACTAAAAATATGATTCATTAAAACCTTATCGACCGGTACGCCTTGCTGAGTCGCCGTCTGCTATTCCGTCTACGATTGACACACTTACTATCTATTTTTGAATAAAAAAAAAGAAGAATAATTTCGATACGTTATTGAATGATGATTCGATCTGAATCTTATCTCTTTAGCCTCGTATTCTTCACTTAGAAACGTGAGTGTCACTAAAAATTCACGATGAACCGCACAGGCGTAAGTCAGGCGCCATAAAAAAGAAGCTTTCAATCCTGATATTTTACGACGTACATCATAATTCGGTCGGTCGTTCCGGTCGATCGTAAATAAAAAAAAATAAAATGGAGTACAGTAGCCGTGAGAAAGACTGAAGAAGAGTGGAGACTAAAGGGCAATACGTGTCACGGGCCTTATTCAAAATGCGTCGACGGTCTCGCAACGACGGACTTTGCCGCGTGTGTTCTTACGGAATTTAATTAACTGTTACTGTTTATTAGATAAGCAGAGTATTATAAAAATTCTGACCCAATGCAAACACAATACAAAATTCAAATGTAAATGATACGTTTGCACGACTGAAAACGCCTGAGGAATCCACGGCAATATCTGGCACGACCAGCACTTTGTTATCTACGAGTAACAGCATATGAAAAGCTTTTTACACTTTCGCGAGAGACAATATTGCCCGGTTTTGTAGATACAATACGTAACGGAGTTACAGAAAACTTGTGTTTGCTAAAAATATGAGCCGGCATAGCCGCCGACATAAATAAGGGAAAAATTTTTTAACAGCTATTTTATAAAAAATATAGAGTAACATAAAAGATTAAATTCTTTTAATTTAATAACGACGGGGATCGAGGCTCTAAAAATACGAGGAGGAAAAATTCAATTTGACCCAGATTAAGATCATTTAGATGGAGGCCGAAACGCTGCTCTTATTAGCCCGAAGTTTCTTTATGGCAAATGCGAATGCAATGTTCGTCCGAGAAAAAGAGTTTTCTAAAAGAAATTCGATAGGAGAATAAAGTTCGTGCCGTCTCCGAGGCGACTCTTTATACGCGCTGGCGGACGTTGGATGGTTATTTTTTTTTTTTCGTCTCAACGAATCATTCGAAGAGAGTCGATCTTCGAAAACAAGAAGAGACCCGCCATCGATCCTGCGCGAATGGTTCTATACTCTATCCTGACAAGCGAAAGCAATAGAATTGTTGAAGTAGAGAAATTGAAGCAATATTTTTGGCATTGCCAATCCTTTTTTTTCGCTGTCGAGCGGTAGCGAAGTCCTGGAAGACGCACGAGTGATTTCGCGATGCTTTAGAAGTCGGTTTTCGTATCACGTCCATTAAATTGTGCAAAAAAAATGTAAGCGAGGAAAAAGAAATTTGTCCTCGTTAATTCTTTCATCGATGTGCGCTCGAGGAATGCGAATGATTATTTGAGTTTAGTAGTATATGTAGTTTGTTGTTGTTCAGTCATTTGATATAGTACGCACGTGTTATGAAATTAATCTACTGAAATCTATTATTATCTAGAATCTAGATTATTTATTAACTACTTGTTTATATATTTTTTCCTACACAAATATTTTTTCTATTTCTTATACTAAGTTCTTTGATTTGTTAAATTTCTTTTTATAACAATATGTTCTTTCTATTTTTTACACTCTTTTTTAATTTGATTTAATTTTCATTTCGCATTTAAAATGAAAACGATGCATTCTGTGAAAGAGACACATGAAGCTTCTAATTCAACAGTCAAATTCTGCAGTAAATTTGTGGTGATTATACGTGCCATAAATTCTGCGATAAATCTAATAGGAAAGTATCCTATACAGCCGGCAAAATTATCCACGTAGGGTAGGATAATGCAACGTCAATCACAGTTAAATTAGATAAAGCTCGTCTTTCAGTGTGTTTGAGAGAATATAATATCACGACCGTGATATCAGAGATGGTAAAACTAGTTTAATTCCTTGTTTATTTATTTAACATTTTAAATCTACATTTGCTTTAATTATTATTTAATTTTGTTCAAAATGTATTTGAAAATTATACTTATTATACTTTGAAAACAACCGAAAATAAGCTTTTAATAATGCAATGTTTATCGCTAATATTTCTCTTGTGCAGATTGGAACAGTTACTGAGAAATTTGAGATAAATATATTGTTGACATTTCTGTTAATAACAAGAAGTATACCATTCTGAATTAAATAAATAATAATGAGAAACGCACGTAAATATTATTATACAATTGAGGAAATAATGTGACATCGATAATACATTGATATGTAAATTTTTACATATCGTAAATTAGTTTGAGTAATTGAGATTTGTATTCCGTTTATTATAAAAAACTTTTATTGAAATTGTAATCAGGAAAAAGTATGTAATTTTTAGTAAATACAAATTTTAATACCTTTTTAAAATTTATATCGGCTTTTTTTAAAATATCATTCGTATCGTAACTATTTATCCAATATAAAAATCAAAGGAAGGATATTCATCGAAGCTAAGGGAGTGATAATTAATTCTATTAATTTTGTTTGGAGAATTAGTAATCGATATATGTATATAAATTCTGTTCACCACGCGGGCGTCGTTGCATGAACGTCGATCGCGATTAAAAAGGTGAAAATCGACAAGTGGGACAAGTCTGCGAGAAAAAGAGAGATAGTGAAAAATTGCTAGAGAGATCGTTTTTAGATCGGCTCATACCGGCTCGACGGCTTGCCCTCTCACAGAGTGGTAAGAACGTGAAACGTGAAAACGTGATCGTGAAAAACGAAGGGGGACAGCTCACGGGCCCCTGGTCCGTTTGGAATATTTACCGCACTCTTTACCTGCGGTCCCCATATTGAGAATGCTGATCTCCCCGAAGTAGGAACCCGCCTTAAGGGTGGCGAGCACCGTCTTCCCGTTGTCGGCTACCACCTGCAGTCGGCCCCTATTCACTATGTACATCTCCTTTCCCACCTCACCTGCAATCGCACAAAAGCGACACTTAAGTTAATTATTCCGTTAACCGTTTCTATCTTTGACTCTAATTTAATCAAGGCGTTTAAGTTCTCGGCGGCCTTGCAATCCCCCGATAATAAAGCTGATATAAAGAGACATTGGTACAAGTCATATTTTCTCTACTTCAAGAAATAAAAAGTTTTGTAAATGTACTTAACATAAATTTTAGTCCTTTTTACGTAGTCTCTCTTTATGAATCCGTAAAAATAATAAGCTGTCAGTGCCATTGGTTAAAGTAATTGATATATTTTAAGACATATGACAAATGCTGGTACCTTCTTTCTTTAATATAATATAACCTTCCATCCGTAAGATTAATAAGAGATTGGTAAGCATAAGAACTATAAATAAATTTTAATAAACACATAAGTTATTTTTTATCTCTTTCTAAATATGAGCAGAAAAAAATACCAATTGACATTGAAAGAACTGACCTTAAAATAATTGCGAAAGTAAATTTGCAACTTTCCGCGCAAAGCAAGGTCTACTCCCATTGCCTGATGCTTTAGATTCCTCAAGATGAATATTTAACACTGATAGAACAACGTTTAATAAATTATATGATAAAATGCAAAACTTGCATAAAATTTGTAATTTGCAATTTTATACAAATATACATATTTACAGAAACTCTAATCTTTTTTAAAATATTAATAACGATAATCTAATTAATTTCGACATGATACTTTGCTAAAATAATAACATGGTGAATAATATTAGTAGAAAATTAATTTTAAAATTTGGAAAAAAATTGTCTAATAATTGAGAAAATTATTTCAGCCGTATTTTAGAAATATAATTGTGTTCATAAATATATACAATTATTATTAAATTATATTGCAGAAATATTGCAACCTAAAGTATTATACATTTAGCAACAGTTAAATTTAGAATTTTAAGTTCCGGCTTTTGGGATGCATACAATATAATCTAATATTTGTACGGAAATATTTTTCAAGCATTTGAAAATAATCGAATAATATCCAGATTTGTTTCTTCATTATGCTATCGGCAACTTGTTCGTTATATCTTTTTAAAAAAGTAAATTAAAAAATATTTACATCTTAAATTAGATTTGTTCAATTTTTGATAAATGGAAATTTTATTCATTTAAAAACTTTATTCTAACAAAAACTGTTGTGTTATGATAAATTATCTTAGTGTAATTGAAAAATTATAAATTCAATGATGCTACTATTATGCAATGTTTTCATAATTTGCCTATCGGATAGAAGTTCCATATATTACATATTATATATTATATATTAAGTGTGTATGTTTGTTATATGAATCATATAAAAATAAATTCAATCGATAAAATTCTGGTATAAAAAAATGTTTTTAATATTTGAAATGAGACCACATGCACTTTATATTCCTCATGTAGAAAACAACTTATGTGTAAAATTTCAGATCAGAAGCAGCGATTATTCGGAAATCAATTATTTTAAAAAATGGCTTAAAAGATTGATAAATAAAAATATTAAGAGGAGTGGCAAAATATTCTTTACACACAAATACATTAATATATAACAAGTTAGTGGCGACATCTATATAGAATTAATATATAACACTATTGATAATAAATGAGATAAAATTAAAATGAAAATTATACGAATATGTAAAGAAAAATAAGAAGAAAATTTTAAATCAATTTTTTAAATATAAGTAATATATAAGTATTGTAGAACTGAATTAATTATCGAATGAATAGAACTGTATTTGGGAATTAAGCAAATTCAAATACATATATATCAATATTTATATTCGGTCAAAGAAACGTACCTTTGTTTTGGGCTTTCTACAAAAGAGTTTAGAATTGTTTCTGTATCTTCTGTGATTAGTCATGAATATTCCGTAACACAAAATAATGGCAGAGCAAGGAGCAACAGATTGCCATGATATGTTTCCGATTCGTCAGAAGATACGTAGACATTACAAAAAAATACAAGGAAATTTATTTGCGCAATGCAATTATTGTTTAAAACCAATAATAATTCAACCCCAATCTTTCTTACATAATCACTTAGTCAAGGAACATTCAAACGAATTAACAGAAGAAGAAAAGGAAGATGAACGTACACATTGGATATGGGATCATGCTACCATAAAAAGACACACAAAATGTAACATGTAACAGATGTGACCTAAAACTTAAGTGCGATCAAAAAAATTTCAATTCTGTATGTAAACATTTAAGAAAAAAGCACGGGTAAGTATATACTAAAGGTTATAAAAAATTAATAATAAATGATAGCAGAACTGAAGAATATAAAATTGACAACAATTGATAGGAATAAATAAATAAAAAACACTTGAAAAAATGTAATGATTAAAACAAGTATTCAACACTCATCAGCATATGTATACTATTATCATGTTTAGTATACAGAAAAGTATAAATTAATAAAATTTGTTCATTTTAATTTTCATACAAGAATAATCAGATGTATATAAGATTTGTATTTATCACATTGCCATAGATTGCTAGATCGCATCTCAATATCCAAGTAATAAGTTAAAAAGTTATAAAGTAATACATTTATCCTCATAACAGAGTAGTATGCATAATTGAAACTAATTTCTATGTTGCATTTTTTACTTTTTTAAACATTCTATTTAAATGTAGGATATCACCTCCATGTACGGATGGTGTGGATAATGTAAGTAGCAGTGCACGTCTCATCCAATGTTGGACACATGGGACTATTTTACCATAAAAAACACACAGTTCGTAACATGTAACATATGTAACGCAGTATTGAATAATAAGTATATAGGCGATAATAAGTATAATTTACAAAGACACTTAAAAAATAAGCACGTGTAAGTGTACTCTAAAGGTATTAAAAAATTGATACTGAAGGACGTAAAGTTGACAGTAATTAATAGTACAATAATCAGTGAATAAAACCTGTAGAAATATAATGGTTAAAACAAGTATTTAACAAGATATTTATCGAAATATGTGTTCTATTATTATGTTTAGTATTCAGAAAAGTACAAATAAATAATATTCGTACTTTAATTTTCATACAAGAATAATCAGATCTATATAAGAGTTGTGTTCACCAGATTGTCACAATATTAATAATAGATCGCGTCTCAACGTCCAAGTAATAAGTTGAAAGTTATAAAATAATATATTTGTCCGCATAACGGAGTAGTGTGCATAATTGAAACTAATTCCAATATAGTATTTTTTACTTCCTTAATTATTTTATATTTAAATGTAGGATATTAGCTCCACGTGCAGATAAGGATAATGTGAGTAGCAATGCACGTACACATTGGTCATGGGACCATTTTACCATAAAAGACACACAGTACATGACATGTAACATATGTGAAAAAGTAATTAAGATAGATAAAAGATATAATAATACACGTCTACACTTAAGAAATATGCACAGGTAAGTGTACTCTAAAAATAATGCAAAATATTGATACTAAAGAATATAAAGTTGACAGTATTAATAAAGTATAGTAATAAATGGAAAACGCGTAAAGAAATATAATGATTAAAACAAATATTTAAGGCACTTATCGAAATATGTGTACCTATTAGTATGTTTAGTATTCAGAAAAGTACAAATGAATAATGTATTTTAATTTTCATACAAGAATAATCAGATCTATATAAGATTGTATTTACCAGATTGTTATACTATTAATAACAGATCATATCTCAATGTCCAAATAATAAGTTGAAGATTATAAAATAATACATTTGTTCGCATAATGGAGTGTTCGCATAATAGTGTGTATTAAAACTAATTTCTATGTTGCATTTTTTTACTTCTTTAAACACTCTATATTTAAATGTAGGATATCAGCTCCACGTGCAGATAAGAATAATGTGAGTAATGATGCACACGCGAATACAACAATAAAAAAAGATCAAATACACTCAACAACTTCCTCTAAAATTTATAAAAATACGGAACAGATAGGTGTTCTTGATAATTATTTACTATATATTTATTACGTTTATTATAATGTAAATAGATAGATTATTTGAATTAAACATTGCGTTTCCAGTACAAATGTAGAAATATTAATCACGAAATATTAATCAAGAACAAGTAAAAAATAGGGGAACAGTTATGTTAATCAAAGAATAATTAAATGTTGTTTGTAATAAGTAACAAAATTTTATAGTATTTCATATTCAGTAGTCAACAAAATTGTTGAACCTGATACATATTTGGCTATATGCAATATAAGTATCAGGAATGGAAATTACTTACTTTCTTATAGATTATAAATAGATATATAATCTATTAAAATGATTTCGCAATGATTTATGATAACAACGACTAATAAAAGTTAAGATTGGGAAGATTAGTTAGGATGTTCGATTATTAGGAAATTTGAATGAGGTGATTCCTTTTAAAAAGCAACTTGTCACTAAGGATTATTGAAAGAAATAACTTATTATTTATAACGCATCGAATTGTTTTTATTGTTACTTTAATTCGTTACAATAATAAATTATATTCATTTTTCAATAAACAACGTGTTATGGTGATAAGTTTTATTTAATTATTATTAAAAATAATTTTTTCCCAACACTTAATTTTTAATTAATCATAAAAAATTGCACAGTCATTATCAAGTCATTATTATAAAAAGTAGTAATAAAAATAACGATGTTACTTATTTTCCATCAGTGTAAAAAATAAACATCCACATATATTTCATTCAAAAATAATGATTATCACATAATTATGAAGAATATAAATATAATATTAAGTATAAATAAACATTTTACAATTTTTCAATTTTTTTCATATATGAATAAAGATCCATTAAGCACTTTAACATTAAAAATAATAATTTGGATCTTTATTTCCATAGAAATGTGGCAGACCAAATTTTAAATCTTCCTCTTCGCAGAGATGTGGAAAACCATGATTTGGATCTTTCAATCCATGAAGATTTGAATATAGCAGAATGTTTT